TTGCACCTGTGCTGTCTCCTGCCCAGCTGTATAGACTGCTGTGAGAACTACTTGCATTGAAGAGAAATGCCTAGTGCTGCCTTGCTCTTTCCTGGCCTGTATCCGAAGTACCAAGTGTGATTTATGGTCATTGTGTGACTCTAAATGTTTACTTGAACCTGCTAGCGAGCCTTACAGTGGCAAATCAAGAATTTAAACTCAGATATTATCATAAACTCCATGATCATCCTATTATTTGTTCATAAAATAACCAGCAGCTAGCTGAGGAATATTTGAGATTAACAAGGAGAAAATTCTGAGATGTCATAAATTAATCACAGCAGGCCAGAGGGTAGAAAAAAGAAGCAAGAGAGGTTAATCAGTTAAGAACTGCAGGGCAAAACCAACAAAAGACTGCTTACATTCCTGGGTATACACTGAAACTTTGAATTACTTTTCAGGTGGCTATTTCTGTGATTATCTAAAGAGAATAGCCTGGCGCCACTGGCCACCTGGCGTTTCTGAATCTTGCTTACATATGAACTTTTTGGACTGTTGCCTACCACCAATGCAAAGGAGCGAACACCTTTTCCTATCCCAGAACTAGCCATGCTTCCCCTTCTCCCACCCACTTAATCTACAGCCAATGTAAAAAATTCTTTCAAAACAACTTAGATCTTTCTTCCCCAAACTGTATGCATAAAAGAGCCTGTCAGCTCTAGGACAGGAGACATGCTTTCTTGTCTCTTCCACCTAGTCCCACTGCTGTTGGTTCAGACTGCATAACCCAGGACCTGGTCCCTTTTTTCGGGCTAGCATATACAGCTCGATAAACTCTTTCAGAAGAGCTTTTGGCCATGAAAATGTTTTTGTTTAATAAGATAAATTACAATAAGAATTTTGATAGTTTTTATGAATGGCCACAGTAGTCCCTGGGCTCCTATTAGAGATTACTCATGAATGGTTTCTAAACCTGTTGTGGAATATTACACACACACACATACACACACACTAAAAAAGAAAAAAATTCCGTTGATGAAAAAGAACCCATGACTAGTAAAATACATATACTAACTGCGGAACATGAAAATAGCATCAAGCGTTTCCGTTGTCTCTAGGGAGTCTGAGTAAAGATTCAAGTCTTCGTTCTATAACTTCAGAGTGCAAAGAAATAAAGGAACAGATTGTTGGAGTCAAGCAGGAAGTCAAAAAACAAAACTGAAAATCTATGATGAATGCTAAAACTTTAAAAATTAACTGTTTTCATTAGAGTATGAAAAAGAAAAAGCCATTGGAGGAATACATGAGGAATACATGAGTTAGCATCAACTAAATGAAGACACACTAGAGGCTCAATAAGATTTTCACTCCATTGCAGCAGATATGATTTCAAAGAGATGAGGTTTTAAAACATTTTAGGTAACAAAGTCATGGAACAAAATTCAGAGTATAGAAAAATCCTTTTGGGTTTCCGTAATTATCAAGCTAAGTGGGAGATGGTTCACTACCCAATGATTTGAACTATGTTGAAAAATTTGAAATCACTTAGTTTTCTGATAGTTACAAAAAAAAAAAAACCCCAAAAAACAAGCAGTTTTAGGAGGTAGGTCCAAGATGGCAGTGTACATGGAGGCTCACTCCCTTTAAACACATTGAATGTACATCTATTTAGAGCAATTCCTCCTGAAAAACAGCTATGAACCAAATAAACAACTTCTGCACAAGCAAGACAGAGGGGCCATACAGAGAAGGTCAGGGAACCACAAGAACTCTCTGAGAGTTGAAAGAACCTATGCCTGTAGGATACCAGTGAGTGCTGTTGTTTATGTTTCCCCTGAACATGGATAGAGGGTGAGGGCACGATCTAGGTTCTCTGGTACCAGTGAGTACAGAACTAGCAAAGTGCAGCTGTGTGCATACATGCCTGCCCCACTGAAAGAGCAGGCGGAGTTAGTGGGGCATTGAGATGCAAGCACACAAAGCAGCCCTGTCCACACCCTGCTTTATCAAAGACAGTTGAAGCAAAAGGGCACAACAAAGTGTCCCAAGAGCACACTGAGTAGCCCTGTGTATATCAGGAAGCCTCGAGCCTCAACCCTGCAGCCCCAGTGCACCCAAGCTGGCAAAAGCAATGTTGAGAAAGAATAAAATTGGAGGTATCATGCTCCCTGATTTCATACTATTCTACAAAGCTATAATAATCAAAACTGTATGGTACTGGCACAAAAACAGACACATAGATCAGAATAGAGAGCCCAGAATAAGCCTCGCTTACACAGTTAACTAATCTACAAGAAAGGAGGTGAGAATATGCAATAGAGTAATGAAAGTTTCTTCAACAAGTGGTGTTGAGAAGACTGGATACATGCAAAAAAAAATTAAAGTGGACCCCTCTTTTATACCATATACAAAAATAAACTCAAAATGGATTAAAGACTAAAATGCAAGACCTGAAACCAAGTAAACTTATGTAGTCAACTATTTATCATTAGTCTGAGTAATATCTTTTTGGATATGTTTCCACGAGCAAGAAAACAAAAGGAAAAATAAACAAATGGGACTTCATCAAACTATAAAGCTTCTGCACAGCGAAGAAAACAAAACAAAAACAACTTACTGAATGGGAGAATATATTTGCAAATGATATATCAGATGAGGAATTGATAACCAAAATATATGAGAAACTCATACAACTTAATAACAAAAAAACAATCTGATCAAAATATGGGCAGAGGACATGAAAAGACATTTCTCTAAAGAAGACATACAGATGGCCAATAGACATATGAAAAGATGCTCAGTATCACTAATCATTAGGGAAATGTATATTAAAACTACAATGAGATACCGCCATACACCAGTCAGAATGGCTATTATTAAAACGTCAACAAATAATACGTGTTGGCAGGGATGTAGAGAAAGGAAACCCTTGTACACTGTTGGTGGGATTGCAAATTGGTGCAGCCACTATGGAAAAATGTATGGCGATTCCGCAAAACATCCACCAAACAATTCTGGTTAATTATCCAAAGAAAATAAAAACATTAATTTGAAAAGATAATAAAAGATAATTTACAATAGCCAAGATATGGAAGCAACCTAGGTGTCCATCAATAAATGAATGGATAAAGATGTGGTGTGTATGCATGTATATGTACATGTATGAAAACACACACACACATGCATACACACGCGCGCACGCGCACGCACACACACACACACACACACACACACACACACACACACACGAATGGAATATTATACAGCCATAAAAAAGAATGAAATCTTGCCATTGAGAAAACATGATAGATCTAGAGAGTATTATGCTAAGTGAAATAAGTCAGACAGGGAAAGAAAAATACAGTATGGTTTCACTTATATGTGGAATCTAAAAAAACAAAACAAACAAAACAAAAACAGATTAATATAAAGATACCAGAGGGATGGTTAACAAAAGGAGGGGCTGGGGCACTGGGTGAAAATGTGAAGGGGAATACAATAATACTGTGATAAGTCTGCACAGTGACAGATGATTACAAGAATTAGTGGGGTGATCACATGGTAAGGTATAAAAGTGTTTAATCACTATATTGTACACCTTAAACTAATAAACTTACATAATATTATATACCAAGTATATTTAAATAAAAAATTAACAAATATCTAAAAGAAACAGTCAAAAAACAAAAGAATTTACCACCATTTAAAAATGTATAGTGTGTTTTCACCTGTGGCACAATGAAGTAAAAGAGACAGGAGTAATTATACCCCTTTCTTAACCAACCAGAAAGATCAGACAATACATGAAACTGTTTTCAAACACTGGCTAACGGCATTGCAAGACTGCTTCATGAGAAAAGGGAAACAAGATGAGCTCTATGACTGCCTAGTTTGTTGCCAGGAGGCAGTTATGAAGCCATTGTTAATAGTAGCCTGAACAATTCCTGGAGCTCATATAGGGCTGGGAATAGTTCATATTTGCATGAGCCTGAGAATTGCCTCATAACAACACAGGACATGAGGGAGGACCCTCTGTAGGTTATTAGTAGTGGGAATAAATTAGCCCTGTTACAACAACTATTATAAGTATACTTCATATTAAACGGCAGATTATCATGACCATTATTCAAGAGATGAAGTGCTTTACTTAAATTTTCCAGTAAACAGACTTGAAAATCATGTATTTGCAGCTCTTCTATTTTCAAATATTTTAGCCATTCTTAAACTGAGAACACTATAACCTGACTAAAATTGACCTTGATCTTTATCTTGCAAACATGAACACATACTTGCTTTTACTGCTTTTCCTAAAAATGGTACTTCAGGTATGTGAGGTTCTGTACACTTACTGCTTATACAACAAGGTTTATGTACATCCTAAAGATTAAAAAGAATGCACGATGCCTTTCAAATATTAGAAAAAGACTTTTTAAATTGACAGTTGTGCAATTATGGCATACTTTTCCATTAATATTTTCATAATGCAATCAGTTGTATGTTTTGTTTGATTCAATAAATCTTTAAATAATAAAAATAGTTTATGCTTCTGTGTATTTCAAAGAATAGAATACACAGCTTATTTTTTTCACACTTTCTAAAACCAAAAGAATTTTAGAGTAATAAAAATAGTGAGTTTCCAGAAAGATTTATATCCTGTAATGGTATTATGATTCATGATCCAGCATCACTGTCATAATTGGTTTACGTATTTCTTAACCAAATTAGTCTTAGCACTTAATGCAGAAATGACTTTTAACCATCCAATTTTACCTTCTAAATAATCAAACAAAAGAACCAAACAATTCCATTTCCCCACCGCCCAGAAAATACCAACAAATGCAAACATATAAATAACTTAATTCATTGATATTTGAGGTTCATCTGGGGAAAGCAGACTTTCCATAAACAAGTTGTTAATATTTTCTTGATATGACAGATATTTTCAAATTATATCTACTTGTACATTTAAGTTAAAAATTTATGAAGAAGTTTGTTAGCCCAATATTTTTGTTATTTCTTACCTCTTTCTGCAGGATTTCTTCTCGAACTTGAGAAACAACAAGAGACTCTTGTTTATCTTGCATGTCTTTAACTTGATTTTGGAAATGTTTTATAAGTATCTAGGAAATTATGTTAGAAGTACTAAGTTAAAGCTCTTCCTAGAATATTATCTGAAAAATATAAGAAAGCTAACTAATGACTTTTGTTTGTACTAAAAATAAAAAGGATCCTAGTATTTTAAAATTACCAAGTTCTAACTTTGAAATAAATTGCCATAAAAATTAAGTTCAATGAATGAATTAAACTCATCAAATAGATTCATTTTCTTGTTTCAACATTTAATATAAAGTATCACATACATTACAAATTAATAACTGTAACTACTTGTCTTCTTTATCTCTAGTACTTTTCTTCTTAAGGCCTAAAAAATACCTTTATAAATACCTCTATAAAAATACATGTTAAAATGAACCTCTATAAAGTCTAAGCAATCTGAAGAAAGTGGTTAATATTATCTTTATATTTTGTTAAGCAGAATAATAGTTTTAATTAAAGAGCTATTGACTAAATAAAGATAACACAAGCCTAATAATATGTGAAATAAATGTTAGTCTCATATTTTGAAACAAAGAAACTGAAATACATAAATTCTTCCATCAAGTAACTGCAAAAATGTAGGAAAAATTCTTATCTTTTATCTCTAATGCTTATCTTTTATGATCAGACTGCAGTGACTTCCATTTAACTCATAAATTTCAATATTACATTTAAAATTTTGGGAAAATAACAATTTATGGCACTGTGGCATAATGATACTACTTTTTCCACCTCTCCCAGACCCCTCTTTACTATATAATTACTTGATATAATGTTTATACTGCCCTCTGACACCCTTCTTGTATGGGGGGAAGAAAGCTAGAGAGGTTATCTGCAAGGCTGTATAATGGTTACTTTTGAAAAGCACTTAAATATTATTCATTAAAGCATTAAAAACAGTCAAAGTTCTCTGTTTCTAAGTTACCTGAGATTAAATTACAGATCTAATTACATTTCACCCTTAAGTACCCCAAATGAAATTTTCAACATGCATCTCCTAGTTATAAGGGTATTTTGTCACAAAACCAGTGACATTTTTATACATAAGAAAATTTACAATAATTTCATAATATTTAATATCCAGTCCATATTCAAACTTCCCCAACTAAGGGATTTATTTTTAATTAAGATGCTATTAAATAATTATAGGTGGGAGAGATAGTGGTGAGATAATTACTTCTTGAAGTTTTTTTCCCTCAACTTGTTTGTAAAATTAAAATCTACAGAAAAATGAAGACCAAAAAGAACATTCATATATTCTTTAACTAGAATTACCTACTGCTAACATTCTGCCATATTTTCTTTTTCTTTTTTTTTCTTAGATCTATCTTTTGGAAGTTGTAAATTCTATTTTAATGCTTTTTTTTTTTTTTTTAACTTATTAATACCACAGAAGATGGGCCACACAGTAGACATTCATAAGTATTCCAAGTAGACATAAATAGTATCCAACACAAAAGACACATTTGAGGAAATGTGTATGAGCTGTCAGCATACCCTGTCACAATTCTTAAAAGACTATGCTTCATAATGGCTAGAGATGTGTATATCTCTCTGTTCATTATTTTATCCCCAGTGCCTAAATGTCTACAGACCTCAAATCATCATTTGTTTAATGAATAAAAGATAATGAGGCAAGAGAAATGACTAGGACAATTACTTGTCAGTTGGGACTTAAGGTGGAGGGAGATGGTTCAACATTCAAGTTCAAGTACTAAGGTCCCAATCATATTAGATATATCCCTCAGTCATCCATTATAATCTATTTAGAGGAGTATTTACTTGAGAAATGTAGGGACAAAACCGTAAAAACACTTATTTAGAGGTATAACTTTAAAGTAGAACAGTTAAACATATGGTAATGGCATTCTCTCATGTAAAAATACAATCAAGCCAACACTAATTTACCATTTCTATCACCAACCTCAAAAAGCGCAGTTAAAATATTTCCAAATTAATGTTTTGTTGGCAGTACTGAAAAAAAAAATCACATTAAAGTCAAAGTTTGATAAAGTCATCTACCTCTTGAGTTGCTATTTTACGATTTAGTTCAGCTACTTTGGAAGAAGAATTTTCTACTGCGTTTTGGCAAAGGAGTTTCTCTACTTCCCTCTGATGAGATGCTTTGAGAGATGTAATGTGTGCCGCAGTATCTTCCTTGACCCTTTAGGGCAAACAAAAGAGAACCACACATAAAAACAGCTCTTCAGCCTCAAATTCAGAGTTAGCACAAAAATAATGTAAGAAGCCTAGAAATTAAAGCAGCAAAGGGAGAGAGGCACCACTATCTACTGCACTGTGCCACATGCCTTATACATGTCTGTGAGTTCTTACTACCACTCCATAAGCTCACTATTTACTGAATTTTTAAAGGGCAAACTTTAATTTAGTAAAGAGATGCATCTATGGTCCCAGATAAGTAAGTTGCAGAGCTGGGGTTGAACCCAGCAGAGCTGAACCTCAGAGTCCTACCTCCAGCCTGGGGCTGTACTTCCTGAAGGAATTGAAGGCTGTATATGTTTTATTTGGATTTAAAGCAAAGAGCCTGTCATTTTATCTTTTAAGATAAACTTAGATTTCTTGCCCAGATTCTTATTTGGATAAGCGCTGTTGTTCCCTTTAGAATCTCCAATGCTTTGTCTCTAAGGCAACATTCTCCAGTTTTTAGTCCATGCCTATAACTCTGGGCTAGCTGTATGCTCTGAGAATAAATTATTTTTTATAATAATTCTTAGGACAGGGTAACTGAACCTAATTATTTTGGACCATTAAGTGTGAGATACTATTCATTTGTCTCCATGACAAAATTTATGTATTCAGAAGCAGTTTGGTAAATGGTAAAGTCATGACTAAAGAGTTGATACATTTCTTATAGACAACCATTTCCTCTCCTACTGGAATATTATTTAAAAGTGACAGGACTGTAACCAAAGCAGATAGTAAATCACTGTTGATACTTATTAATATGACAATTCTCAAACTTTAAACAAATATATCAGTTGCTTATTTGACTTTGTGAATATTTATTCATGGAAACAGTGTGATTAAGGGTCTAAAAAAGGCATAAAAATCTAAAATACCAATATTAACTGTAATAAAAAACAACCTAAATCTGGGACTAGGAAAGGTTAATACCTCTCAAACCCAGAGAAACAGATTAACAATACTAAAAAATTATAAATTATGTACAGAAAAATTTATAGGAAAAGCTTGCATTTTAAATTATTTCTAGGAAAGAATATGATCCTTTCCAAATAGCTTCAGTGCTACTATTATTTTCAAGACTAAAGAAACAAAGTTTCAATTTGGAAGCTATATGGTTACCATGATGACTCAATGAGACATGGCTGCCAATTCATCAATAAGCATGTTAGGCACTTCCGATGCTCATTCTTCTAGTAGAGGCCCCGCATTCTACAAGACCTACCTATTCCTCCATTCAGGCACTCATTACACATACTGATGCCTCCAACTGTTCCTTGAGTCAGTCAAATGTATTATTAAAGTCCCAATCTTTGAAGAGCAGAACATTATATTTTCCCAATAATGCTATATAATTTCATAATTAATATGTTGCTTCATAAACATTAACTTACACATTTTATATACCCCAAGACTTACTTTAAACCTCAGATCAAACCTATTATTGTTTGCAGGCTGCAAAAGAAATATAATCTTATATCAGTTCTTAAGAAGCTGCAAAGGCAGTGTTATGATTAGTACTTTCTTGGTACATAAATTATATAGGAGTTGGAGGTTGAAGCAGGAAATTTTCTAGGAAACTCTAGGAAATAATTTGTGAAAGAGGTAGGACTTGAAATATGAACAAGCAAAAAAAAAAAATAGGCAGGAAGAAATTCAGCAAATTAGGCATAGAAAGTCAGATTTTTGAGGGGGGCACATGAAGAGGAGTCAGGAGTCAGTTAAAAGAAACAGAAAAAAAAGTTTTAGTCAGAGCTGCCAAGTCATGGACATTAAGAGAGGAAACCATTTCAGGAAAGGCAGTATAATCGATAATGTCAAGGAAAATGAGAACGGAGAAAACTCCACTAGACTGGGAAAGGTCATAATTAACTGATCAGGTTTAAAAGAATAGTGAGGTTGATAGCCATATTTAAGAGGAAGCGAGGTAGAAATAAAAGAAGAGGCTACTTGTGGAAAACTGGTACAGAAAGACAAAGAGGAAAAGAATTTGGTTTCATCAGACGAAAAAGCATGTTAAAAGGCTCAGAGGAACAAAGAGACAGGAGATAGTACTTGGAGATTTTGAGAAGGAAAGGGATGACTATAAAAGTTCTTCAAGGCATGATGGATGTGATCACAATATTAATTTGAAGTTATTTTGGAAAAAAGGACTGTTTCCTCTTAGAATGTCAACCAGTTTTCTAACAGCAATCTGCCTATGGCGACAGTAAAAAATGATACTCATTTGCAAGAAGGCCCAGTGGCCAGCTTATTAACACCATTTGGATATATGCAGAAAGACAAGACTAGTTAGATCAAAATCACTGCTTGGGTTGACATGGAGATTCAGGTTCTCAGAATCTGGGCTTCCAACAGGTACAGGATTCTACTCTGAAACAGATCTATGCTTAGCAACGTATAACCCATTTCTTAAAATTTGGTTATGAATTCAGTTCAGGGTCAAACTAATTATCTAGAAGAAATGCATCTTATAATTTTTAAACTTTTATCTTTTTATGTCCCCATATATTTACAAATTCACATTTTACCTTTTTATGGAATTTTCAAATTGGTTCATAGCTACTTCAGATTTCATTTTCAGCTCATTTCTCTCCACAATTAATTTCTCCAGTTCATTTTTCAATCTGCAGTTTTCTTGTAAAACCTCTGAAACATGGGAATCAGTAAAAGTATGTGGTTGGTAAAGCTTGCTATTCAGGGTTCCAGGGAAA